ATCTATCTATCCATCTATCTATCCATCTATCTATCCATCTATCTATCTATCCATCCATCCATCCATCCATATATGTATCTATCTATTTATATATACACCCATCCATCCAATCATTGTTTTATATCACCTGGCTTTCAAATGTACTGTTGAAATATATCAATAATTAAAATGTCCAAACTGGAATAAAGTGAACAAATCAAATCTTTGTTTCATTTGGACACGAAGCAGTTGTAGTTGATTTAATCATGACCAACACTGATGCAGCATTCTGTCTCTGTTCTCAGAAGTGGCCCATGCGTTCCCTCCTCTACTGCGGCGCTGTGGGAGAGCTGTTATCAGCCAATCAGATGCCTGCGCCTGGTCGGGACAGGACACATTCTCTGACCTCGGATGAACAATGATAGCACAAGTGGACATTTAACTCTCGTCTCAGTCTTCTGACTCCAGTCTCTACCAGCCACAGAGATGAAAACATTAAAAAGGAAATCCCATCCATTTCAATTTAGGGTTCTGTGCTAGCATTCTGAAGAATTGATATTTTACCTGTTGTAGACAGCTCTTTGATTGTCTGACAGGACTGATAAGCTAAGAAGTCCCAATGCAGCCAAGTTGTGTATAGGAAATATCCTGGGTAATAATTCATTCATAATTGGCTGTCTGTCGTGGAACGTAAGTCCTTCAAAGCTTTGATTCAGTGGTCCATCTAGGTTCCAACATGTGATCACAAGGTTTGGATCATGACTGAAAGATGAGCTTCCCCCATACAGTGGTACAAAGAGGGAGGAACTCTATCATCTGAAGAAAGATACAACTTCTCCTTGCTAATCAGCTGAGGTGGTTTAAATACCTATAATATATACTTCATTAGAGTGCCTTCTTGACACGTCCGTCTGGAGGTTTTCTAGTTACATATCACTGGGAGGAGACACTGGGCAGACCCAGAACTTGTAGGAAGAATCACATATCCTCTCTGGCCTGGAATTCCATAGGAGGAGCAGGAGAGAGGGGTTTCCATCCTGGACATGTTGCATCTGACCTTAATTGGAGAAAAAGGGATGGATGGATGGATGGACGGACGGACGAGCAAACGGGCGAATGGATGGACAGCTATAACATTTGGATTGGAGTTGTTTAAATATGTCAATCTGCTTTGGGTTGGGATTACTTAGACAAGTTTTCAAGTTCAATAATTTTTATTATCTACAAGGAGCAATCTGTTTCACAGTCAGTAGGCACACAAAACATCCACACTACACAAGACATTGAGACATTAAGGTGCAGCACAGAAATCATCACTGTTTGTTGAGAAGCCTGATCTGTACAAGGATAAATAAGTTGTTCAGTCTGTTCTACATCTGGGCAGCAGATACCGGCGTCCAGATGGATGCAACCTGAACTCATCATGGAGTGGTGATCAGGATCTGCCAGAATCAGCCTGGCCTTGTTCACTGACCTCGCCTTGTGTAGGTCAGTGAGGTTCTGTAGGTCAGTGAGGTTCTGTAGGTCAGT